GCTAAAGTAGCCTTGGTTGTAGGTCTGGTTCTCATTACTTGGAATATTTCTTGCAATTCTCTTCTTGCTTGGAGTGTTTCCATTGAGAAGTCAGTGGCTAACCTTATTGGGGCTCCCTTGTATGTTACTTCTTTTTTCTTCCTTGCTGCCTTTAAGATTCTCTCTTTGTCTTGGAATTTTGCCATTTTAATGATGATGTATCTTGAAGTGGGCCTCCTTGGGTTCCTCTTGAATGGGACTCTGGGATTCCTGGATTTGTGTGACTTTTTCTCTCATCAAATTAGGGAAATTTTGTCTCATTACTCTTTCAAATATGTTTTCTATCCCTTGTTCTTCTTCTTCTCCTTCTGGTATTCCTATTATTTGGATATTATTACGTTTCATATTGTCTTGCATTTTTTTTAATCCCTCTTCATTCTTTCTGAGCCTCTTTTCTCTTTCCTATTCTTTTGGCGAGATGCTTTCTACTTTGTCCTCCAATTCACTAATCCGATCTTCTGTTTCATCCACCCTATTTTTAATGCTTTCCACTGTGTTTTTTAATTCAGAAATTGTATTCTTCATTTCCTCTTGGCCCTTGCTAATAATTTCCATTTCCTTTTTCATGTTGATATAGTTCGAGGTGAGATCATGATAGCTCCCCTGTAGTTTCTGGTAGCTCATTGTGAGCTCTTTGAACTTCCTGATAACCAGTGCTTTGAATTCTCTATCTGATAGTTGATTAGCCTCTATTTCATCTAACATTCTTTTTGAGGGTTCCTGCTTTCCTTTCATTTGGGGATTGTTTCTTTGTCTTCCCATTGTTTGTGAGACTCTTCTTGTTAGCCTCAGCTTCTTAGATTAATCTGTTTTGACACTCTGGGTTTATGGTGTGAACTTTTGTGGTGGAATGCCTGTGAATTTCAGTGGTGCAGTGTCTTTTGGTTATCCTGTTGTTCTGTTTCCACCTACTTAAATATGCAGCAACTTTTGGCTTCTCTTCTACAGCAATGTGCAATTTGTCTCTCTGACTCTACTACTGGGAGGCCTCTTCTATGGGTCCAGCTCTGGTCTTTTCATATTTTCGAGTTGATTGTGACTCTTGTGGGAAAAAGAAAGAAATGACATGGAAAGAAATAAAAGGAAGAAAGAAAAAAATGGTAGGGGAATGGATGAAAGAGCAATAAGGTTAGAAAGAAAAGAGGAAGAAATAAAACCAAAAATCTGGGAAAAGAGGACAAAAGTATGGAAAGATGAAACAGTAATAAAATTTAAAAGAAATAACAGATTAAAAAAGCAAAAAGATAAAGAAAAGGAATGGAGAAAGAAGAAAAGTAAAAAAAAAAAGAAGAAATATGAAATAAAGTAAAATAAAAAAAACAAGAAACAAAAAACACACAAACAAAAAGAATCCCCCAAAAATAACATCAAAAAAGGAAATGTCACTTGTTGGCTTCAAACTAGCTGAACCGGTTTTTCTGGTTGCAGTTGGCTCAGGGTCGATTGTTGTGATTTTTTCAACCTGTCCCTCTCAGGATCCAGACACTTGACGCCTCTCCCCAGCTCCCTACAATGGGGAACTAGGACTTCCTCACTGCGCTCCCCTCCCCGGGGTTACCTCCCTGGGCTGGTTTGCTGTGTTTGCGGGCACCTGCACCGGCCTAGTTGCCTGGTTCCCTCAGGATTGAGCACAGACCTTCCCCCGTTCTGTTGGAAAGCTCTAGGCCCTCTGCCCAATTTTGGGTTTGCTGCCAAGCTGGGTGTGAAGCAGACCAGGCTATTGTGTCTATTGGATTCAGAGCCCCACACTGTACCTCTCAGTTCTCCTGGGCTGGCAACCACATAGTCCTTGGCTGGGGCCCTTTGTCCTCAGCACCCTCTCTGCAAACTCTATCAAACAAGTCTCTCCTGGCTCCCCACCTTGCTTGGCCAGAGAGGGAGGGGGTTGAGGGTCTCAGCTCTTTCCCCAGGACCCCTCAGCGCCCGGGGCTTCCAGATAGTCTGAGGGGGTAGACTGGAAGCTGGGAGCCGATCTGAGGACTGGGCGCCGACCTAGAACTCTGTGCGCACGTCATGGCATGCTGCATGGTGTATATCCCTTCTGTTCCTGTCTTTGTCTGGGTCCCCTAGCCAACCTCTGCCAAAAAAAACCCCTAGGGATGTAGCAGCACCACACTGGGCGCTGGACCCAGAACTGTGTGCAGTCTGAAATCTCCTCTGCTCTCCTCTCGTTTGGCCTCTTGGCAGGTCCCAGCCCAAAAACCCTAGGGAGGGAGCTTTCTGGGCGCTGAACGTTGGCCTAGGCACCATCAGTCACTCACCCAGATACACTGCGTCTCCCGGGGACTGGTCCCCCAAATTGTGTGCAGGCTGAAATTCCTTCCATACCTCTTTGCCTGGGCCACTTGGCCAGCCTGTCCGAAAAATCCTAGGGAGGGAGGTCTGGGCGCTGAACCCTGTCCCAGGCGCCGTTGGGCTCTCACCACTGGGCGCTGGTTCCCTTACTGTGCACCCGCGGAGATCACCACTGTTTCTCTTTGCTCTGTCCCATAGACTACTGCTGCTGTCTCCCTGCTGTCTGGTTCCTCCATGACCGATGAGGTTTCTGGTCCCTTATTTTCATATATGCTTGGCAACTGCTGGCTTGCTTGTTTCTCCTCCTCCGATCAGACAGGTTTCTCTTCTTTCTGTACTAGGAACTGGTATCTGCTCCGTCCTACTCCACTGCCATCTTGAAAGCCCCCTCTTTTCTTTCTTTCTTTCTTTCTTTCTTTCTTTCTTTCTTTCTTTCTTTCTTTCTTTCTTTCTTTCTTTCTTTCTTTCTTCCTTTCTTTTTTTCCTTCCTTCCTTTCTTCTCTTTCCTTTCATCTCCTTTTCTTTTCCTTCCTCCCTCCCTTCTTTCTCTTTCTTCCTTTCTTCTTTCTGTTATTGTTGTTCAAATACAGTTGTCTGCATTTTCCCTCCATCACCCTCTATATCCAAGTCATCCCCACCTCCTTCCCCTTATTCCATGCACCCCTTGGTATTGTCCATGTGTCCTTTATAGTTGTTCCTGAGATCCCTTCCACACTTTCCTTCCATTATCTCCTCACATCTCCCCTCTGGATACTGCCAGACTGTTCTTAATTTCAATGTGTCTTTCAATGAGTTTTTTGATTCCTGCTTCGATTTCATCTGCTGATATTAGTCTATTCAGACTTTCTGCTTCTTCTTCAATGAGTTTTGGAGTATTATATTTTTCTAGAAATTTGTCCATTTCATCTAGGTTTTCAAATTTCTTGGCAAACAGTTCTTCGTAGTAATTCTTACAATCTTTTGTATTTCTGTGGTGTCAGTTGTAATCTCTCTTCTTTCATTTCTGATTGTGTTTATTTGGGTTTTCTCTCTTTTTCTTGATGAGCCTCCTTAAATGCTTGTTGATTTTGTTTATCTTTTCAAAGAACCAGCTCCTGGATTCATTGATTTTTAGAATTGTGCTTTTAATCTCTATGTCATTTAATTCTGCTCTGATCTTAGATATTTCCGTCATTCTACTTGCTCTGGGCTGTCTTTGTTGTTGTTCCTGAGTTCTTGTAGGCACAAGGTTAGGTTGTTTTTTTGAAGTGTTTCTATCATTTTTAGATAGGCCTGTATCGCTATGAACTTCCCTCTCAGGACTGCATTAGGTGTGTCCCATATGTTTTGGGTTGTTTTGAGTTCATTTCCATTTATTTTCAGAAAAATTTTATTTTTTTTCTAATCTCATTCTTGACCCATTCATTGTTTAATATCATGCTATTCAATCTCCATGAGTTTGATTGTTTGGTTTTTTTTTCCCTTGGGGTTGGTTTCTAGTTTCAATCCCTTGTGGTGGGAGAAAATGTTTGGTATGATTTCAATTTTCTTGAATTTGTTGAGGATTGTTTTCTGTTCTGTCATGTGGTCTATCTTTGAAAATGTTTCATGTACATTTGAAAAGAATGTGTATTTAGCTTCTTTGGGATGAAGGGCTCTATATATCAGTTAAGTTCATTTCATCTAGGGCAATCTTCATTGTCACAATCTTTGTTTAGAAGATATGTCCATTTTTTTGACAGTGGGGTGTTAAAATTCCCTACTATAATTGTGTTCCTGTCAATATCTTCTTGAACTCTCCTAAGATTTTTCTTTATATATTTGGGTGTTCCTATGTTGTGTGCATATATATTTACAATGTTTATGTCTTCTCAGTGGATTCTTCCCTTGAGTATTATGAAGTGACCTTCTGGGTCTCTCTTTATGACCCTTTTTTTTTTAAGTCTATTTTGTCTGATATGAGTATTGCTACCTTGGCTTCTTTTTTTGTGTGTTTGCTTGCTTGGAAAATTTGCTTTTAGCCCTTCAGTTTTGGTCTGTGTAGGTTTTTTGTCCTGAGCTGGGTCTCTTGTAGGCAGCATGTGTGGGTCATGCTTCCTTTTCCATTTAGCTATTGTATGTCTTTTGATTGGGGCATTTAATCTATTTAGATTTAAGGTTATTATTGATAGGTACTTATTCATTGCCGTTTTCATACCTGTGTTTATCTCTGTCTCTATCTTTTCCTTTCTGTCCTTAAAGCACTCACTTTAGCATGTCTTGTAGAGCTGGTTTGGTGGAGGTGTATTATTTTAGACTTTTTTGTCTGGAAAGCTCTTTATTTGGCCTTTTATCTTGATTGAGAGCCTTGCTGGGTGAAGTAGCCTTGATTGTAGGCCTCTGGTTTTCATTACTTGGACTATTGCTTGCCATTCTTTTCTGGCTTGGAGTATTTCCTTTGAGAATCAGTTGCTAACTTTATCGGTTTCCTTGTATGTTATTTTCTTTTTCTTCCTTGCTGCCTTTAAGATTCTCTGTTTTGGAATTTTGATGTTTTTATTATGGTGTGTCTTGAAGTGAGCCTCTTTGGGTTACTCTTGATTGGGACTCTCCATGATTCCTGGATTTGTGTGACTTTTTCTCTCATCAAATTAGGGAAGTTTTCCATTATTACTTTTTTAAATAAGTTTTATCCCTTTCTGTTCTTCAAAAATATAGAATGCTTCACAAATTTGTGTGTCATTCTTGCACAGGGGCCATGCTAATCTTCTCCATATTGTTCCAATTTTAGTATATATACTGCCAAAGCAAGCACTGTAAATGTACCATAGTTTTTTAATTTATTCATTTACTGATGGGCTCTTAGGTTGCTTCCAGCACTTGGCTATTGGAAATTGTGCTGCTATGAACATTTGAGTGCCTAGGTTCTTTTGGATTGGTGATTCAGTTGTCTATAGTCAATTAATATTTGACAAAGAGAGTAGAATCATAAAATGGATTAAAAATAGCCTCTTGAACAGATGGTGTTAGGAGATCTCACCAGCTACTTGCAAAAAAATGAAACTCAATAACCAACTTACAACATACAAAAATAAATAAATTCAAGGTGGATAAAAGACTTAAATATAAATTTTGGCACCATAAAAGTCCTAGTGAAGAACACAAGCAAAAAAATCTGAGATATACCAAACACCAACATTTTTACTGACATGTCCCCTAGAGCAAGGGACATAAAGGAAAGAGTAAACAAAGGGCACTTCAACAAAATTAAAAGCTTCTGCACAGCTAAAGAAAACAGCATTAAAATGCAAAGAGAACCAACTGTATGGGAAAACACATTTTCCAATGATACTTCGGACAAGGGTTTGATCTCCAAAATATATAAAAAAAATCACATGACTCCACTCCTGGAAGACAAACATCCCAATTAAAAAATGGGCAAAAGCCCTAAACAGACACTTCTCCCAGGAGGACATACAGAGGGCTAGAGAGATATGAAAACATGCTCAGCATCACTAGCCACCAGAGAGATGCAAATTAAAACCACACAATGATACCACCTCACACAGGTCAGAATGGCCATTATAAACAAATCAACAAAAGTTTCAGAGAGGATGTGGAGAAAAGGGAATCCTAGCTCACTATTGGTGGGGATATAGACTGGTGCAGCCATTCTGGAAAACAGTATGGGATTTTCTTAGGAAACTAAAAATGGAACTGCCTTTTGACCCAGCAATTCCATTGCTTGGATTATATCCAAATGAGCTTGTTTTAGGAGACCCTTTCACATTCACCTTTTATGACCCCTACCAGGTTAGAGAATATAATGTCTAGTGGGAACACTCTCTCTGACACTCTGGATAATCAGGTGTTAATTCCAGCTTGGCCATTAACCAGATGTGGCCTTGGTCAAAGCATTTAATATCTCAGGGTCTCAGCAGTTTCTAAAATATTTCTATTATGGTCCTGAATTGTATCCAGGGATAACTGATTACAGATAATCTATAGGAAGTTGAGAGGTTTTCTGGGGAACAGGGAGCCCCAAAGGTACCTGGAGTGGTCTACACAAGATAATTTGGTGGGCAGAGATCTATATAGCCTGCCTTCCCTGGCCTGTCCCTGTACCACTTCTCCCAGTGAAACCTGTACCCTCTAGTACTGGACCTCTGGACAGTGCCTGATGGGGGACCATGTGTTCTACAATTGTTTGTTTTGTTTGTGGAACATGCTCCTTCTCCTTTTCTTTGTTTGAAATTTAGGAATTTAATGACTTAGTATGTACTAAGGGATATCAGCATTCTAGAAGGCTCTCCTGTGTGACAGAAAGCAAGGGGGGGGTCCATATTTTGATGGAGACTTTTTTAGGTTAGCAAGAGGTTTCATGAAGAGGATCTGAGAGCTAGATGGGACTTGAAGACATATGACTGAGTTGTGAATTGTCATTGCTGACTCACTTTTCCCACCTTGTCAGTGTCATTGCTTTTTACAGAGGTTGTTAGAGTACAGGGAAAGAGGGCAGGGGAGGAAAATGTTGCTCTGGGCAAAAGGAATAGGTACCATATGGCTGGTATGATATGAGGCACACACACACACATAGTGTATGTTATTGCTTTTATTTGGGACCTACACTGCACCTAGTGGATCATCTGGGTGCTGTGCACAGACACCCTCTTCAAGGCCAATATCCCATTTCCCCCCAGTTGCATGAAGGGTGGATTCTGATGGCTTATAGTGGCATTCCTCACAGGGCACTGACTTCAGCTATGGCGAACTGCTTTGTCCAAGGTTCTCCTCCAAGGGAAGGTTAGACAAATGACTAACTACTGTAGAAGAGAAGCTTTTCAAGAGGATTTTGAAAGTTCTCTGTGGGACTGACTGAGGCCTCAATAGCAACTTAAGATTCCCCACTGCATTCCAAAACACAATGTAAGTTTATTTATACGATCCAGATAAGTTTTCCCACTCTGACTGATATGGCTCAGTTGGTTGGAGAGTCATCCCATAAACCAAAGGGTTTCAGGCTTGATTCCCAGTCAGAGCACATCCTGAGTTTCTGGTTTGGTTCCCAATCGAGTGTGTACAAGAGGCAACCAATCAGTGTTTCTCACATCAATGTTTCTCTCTCCCTTTATCCCCCTTCCCCTCTCTCTAAAATCAATAAAAATGTCATAAGGATGGTGGAGTTGTGAGGAAGATAAACTTCCCCTATAATGTTAGTATAAAATTGCTTTTAAAATATGTATGATGAAAGTTACTTTCCACAATAATAATAGTATTCTATTTGCACTACTGTCTTATATAGCAGTGAATATGGATATAAATTTTCACCAACCACTACATTTGATTGAAACATAATTCACTCTAAAACCCAGATAATAGTGAATGTACAGTGATGGGAAGACAGCTGAATAAATTGCAAGTATCTTCATGTGGATTGCATCTCAATGTTAAAAACAATGTGAGTTAACTAAGAAATTTTAAGAATGTTCAATGGTATTGCCAATGAAAATATGGAGATGCAGCCACTGTGTAGAATCTAAGCACAACAAAGTATATACTTGTACATACGTTATTCTTAATAGTTATATTCTTAACTGTATAACCAACAGAAATATGCCTATGTGGTCATCAAAAAAACCACTAGAATATTTATGTGCATGGCACCACTATTCATAAAAACCAAATATTAGAAACTACTCAAATGATTTTGCACAGGAAAATGGTTAAATAAATCACAGTATATTCATGCAGTAGAACACTAGAGAATAAACAATGTGTAACTGCAACAGAAATAAATCTCAGAGTACAGGAAGCCAGTATTTGTACTATTGAATCTGTTGTAGAAAATTACAAAGCAGACCATACTAATCTACACCAGTGATTTTTAACCTTTTTCATCTCACATCACACATAAACTAATTACTAAAATTCTGCAACACACCAAAAAATATCTTATTTTTTTGGCCCTGGCTGGTGTAGCTCAGTGGATTGAGCGCAGGCCTGCAAACCAGAGTATCACGGTTCAATTCTCAGTCAGGGCACATGCCTGGGTTGCAGGCCAGTTCCCAGCAGGGGACACATGAGAGGCAATCATACATTGATATTTCTCTTCCTATCTTCTTCCCTTCCCCTCTAAAGATAAATAAATAAAAACTTTAAAAATATATCTTATTTTTTGTCACTTTGATAAAAATGTAGGTGTGATTTTGATTCCTTCATGCTGGATGGTTATTGTTGTGTTGGCTGTTCTAATTATTTTATCTGACAGTCTAAGGGAAGAGAGGTCAGTGCCCTTAACTAAAAAGTCAGGTATTTCATGTTTTAAAAATTGCTGTAGGCACACTGGTTGAAAATTGCCGGTCTAGGCTATTGTAAATAGGAAAGTGTCAGTGACAGGGGTGGGGCAGTGGAAAGCTGCAGGTGGTGATACTGTTCTTTTCTTGGTCCAAATGATGGTTACATGAGTCTGTGCTCATTGTCAAATTTCACCAGCTGTACATTTATGAATTTATAAAGTATGCACTTACTCTATGAATATTATACTTAGTATGTGTGTATGTTTACATAAACAAATGTTTAAAAGAACAATGAACACAGAGAAAGCTGGTATACAAATATATGGCCATTTACAATGTTCAAATTTAAGAAATGGAAATGGTGACAACTTTCAGTCCTTCTGATTTTGACTATAATTTTGATTTAATAATAAAAATTATTATTATTACTCCCTAACAACTGGCACCCTGAGCACCTGTGGCACCCAGAAGAGAGTAGGAGTGCAATGGGGCAGCATGAGTAGGAAAGTATGGAGGGGGTGCTTAGAGAATGTGGGTGGTGGGCCTGAGCTCCAGCCACCAACCTGAGTAGGAGGAGGTAGCAGTGAGAGGGCACCAGGATTCAGGGCTGAGTGGAAGACATCAATTTGCCTTTCCCCAGAGCCTTCCATTTTACTTGGATTACTCTTAAGTTTACTGTATCCTCACTGAAGGAGTTGCAGCCCCCAAGTACCCCTGTTACAGAAGAGAAAACTTGAGTGTGTGAAGAGACCAAGGCAGGCTTATCTCTGGATTGGGGCAGAGACCAGCATGTGAGAGAGTGCAAGAGCATGAAACTGCTTAAGGCCTAATTGCAAGGAGCAAGGCCTATTGGGAAGACTTCTCATGAGCTGAGTGACTTCAAGGCTTTAAGATTTCTCTAGTCTCATGTGGAGAATGGAGAGATGGTAGTAGCTCAGGTGTCCTGCACAGGCATGACACAACAGATGTTGTTCCATTGATATTTATGTTGTTGTGATTGTGATCCCTATAAAATAAGATCCACAGGAAGCGTGACCTTGATTATAGGAACCTGCAGGCATCTCTGTAGGAAGTCCTCTCTCTCCCTGAGTACAGTGATACAAGCCAAAGACAGGTATGGTTGGCTCCGTGAAATCCATTCAAGTGAACAAATGTTTGAGTCAGGTATTACCCAGATATAGTTGGTACATTTGTTTCATAACTCATATCCTTTCTGTCATTCAGACCTAACTAACAACAGATTTTTCATGGCTTAAAATTGGAGAGCTGCTTAAAAAGAGCAGTGGAGGCAGAGCAGGGAACAGGTTAATAAAAATACACCTGTAATTAGATAGATGTAAGGAAAGAAATGTGTGTTGAGGCTTGTGTGTGAGACCAACTGCCTCTGAGAGGTTTTCCATCCTCAAGGTATTTTATGTCTAAATTATCTTCTTATACAAAATATTAAACTGAATCTTCCTATCTTTCAAGCACAGCTCTGAGTGCCATGTGAATGCATAGCAAATGTTAGGCAGTAATA